AAAAAACACGAAAGCACCAGCCAGAGATAGCTGTATACGGCTAGAAAATGCCCAAAGATGCACAAAAATACAAATTTTATCAAATTTTCAGCGCTTCACGACAAAGACCTGATATTTGAAGAGGCCGTGCGTGCGTGCGCGCGGGCGCGCGCGGGCGTGCGGGCGTTCGTGCGTGTGCGAGAGTGCCTGTGCGTTCGTGTGCGTGTGCGCGAGTGCGTGTGCGTTCGTGTGCGTGCGGGTGCATGTGCATATAGGTGTCTGAAGCTGAGGTTGCCTGGCTTTTCCATCAGACCCTGGTGTGCACACCTGTGTGGGAGTGTGCAGGCGTAAGAAGCTGTGCTAATAGTCGCATTTTGCTGTGCAAGGAGCCTTTGGATACGCGCAGTCCCCCCAAGGGCGTCGCCGGTGGGCGAAGCCTGTCAGTAAGGGACACACGGTGGATATCAGTGGCCGTTCTTTTGCCTGTTCACAAGAGGATGAACGAATTCCCCTCCGGAAAATCTCCACACAAAAACGTACATGGCTTGCAAACACCATGTGGTGGTGCCCATCACTGCGCCTCCGCTGATGCCAAGCACCTGCAGCAACTCCTTGGTCGAGACTTCGCCTTTTTCTTTGAGGCCTCGAGTTTGGCCGGCTGCCGATGAAGCAAAAACCGCGCAGCTCTTCCTATTGAACCCATGTATTTTATAGGTGTCGATTCGCATGTGGACGACATGTGTGAATTCCTGTATCATCCCATCTGATCGGTAAATTCACGCCCACCAAAGCCCCCTGTTCCGAGCTGTTCTGATGTGGGTGCAGCCGGAGATGGAGAGTATTCTTGAAACTAATAGATTTCTTGAACCGCCCATCAGCCGCATGCCAAAAGGGATAGGGATCCCTTCGTACTTGGATACGGCACAGTGGGTCCTTCCTGCTTTGTGAGTTGGGGATGGTGAATGAATCCTACAACAGGCGTTTTACTAACCTTCAAACATGTTTAAGTTAGGGAGTAATCTGCACCTCTGGACAATGAAGTCGCCCAACCCCTGCTGTACAAAAATCACCATCCTCTTCCTTTAGGCACCTCCAACTGCTCTGGATTTACGAGTTGAACAATATGTGTCCCAAAGGTGAGGGCTAGGTATACTTCATAATTATATGCTTGCTTAAACATGCTTAAACACCGGTCACATTCTCCAACGTTGCTTGTCCAGAAATCTGTCCCTTCTGCCAAACATCCTTTTTAAAAGCAAAAAGCAAGCGAACTCAGTTCCCCAGCACTGTACAGCCCGGCGTCGCAGTTCGCTTTGGTCAGGTGATGCTGGCCTGCCAGAGGTACGCTGAGCGGCTTACGGGTGGGTAAACTTTGGAACGGTGATGGCACGGACTCACGGCAATGGTCACTGGATCCTTCCTTCGCTTCCTTTCCCAAAAAAGTCCCTTGTAATATGTGAAAACTCTGCAAGAGCTTGCAGTCCCAAGTGGTGGTCTATACTGATGGTTCGAGAAAAGTGTAGAAAAGTCCTGAGGGAGGTCTATGGCAATCTTGGATCTGATGGGACTTGGTGCTTTTTCACCCCAAGCCTTTTTTGAGGCTGAACGGCACTTGCCGCGCCTGCCGCGAGGCCTAGTGCACTGCCTTCCTTATAGATCAGCCCCTCTCGCCCCAAACTACGGTGTACGCCGACCGCTTCGGCGGATGCAGAGCGCGGCTCGCCCCACCTCTCGCTTGATGGAGGAGACATTTCCTGGCTGGCGCAACTCCATGTTGCTGCAGTATGCTCTTTCTTGGTCTTAATGTCCTTTTCTTCAGGTGTGCAACGTTTGCTGAGAAGAGACTTGCAGCACCATGCAACTCAACATGTTCAAACCAGCGAGATAGCTGCTTCGCTCAACGAACATCTGCCGCTTCGTCTCTTTTCTTCTCCGCACGCTTCGGCGACGTCGTTCGGTGTTCTGCAGCACCTGCCGGGTTCGGTTCACCGTGCGCGCGCGCGACAAGTGGTTCCAACTGCAAACAGTAACAGCCGTCGTACTTAGCATGAAGATTCCCAACTGGTAACATCCAGCAACCAACTAGCAAGGGTTGCTATCTCATGCTATCTTGCGCCTCATCTGCAAGCCTACCACCATGCCAACACTGGGGTAAGCAGCAAGAGCCAACTGCCACTAAGCCTTGGTTCCGAACGTGTTTGCAAAAACGGACCTCACCCGAAGTTTTACGTGCCAGCACATGTCATGTCCATTCCGCCGCATAAGAACTACCAGAACCATCATCAGCCCGCATGCTGCTGATGTCAGAAATTCTGCATCATATGCCAGGTGCGTGGTGAAGGATTTCTTCTGCAAATAACAGGACTGCATGGGTTCTTCAAACAATTTTCCTTGTAGTTGGTTGGTAGAGGCGGCGTGGAGAACTCCAAAGCAAATCAGTAGATCAAAAGTGATACCTGCCCTGTGTAGTGGAAATCTCTACGCCTACCAGCAACATTTCTAGCGTTATATGAGTCCTCCTGTTTCTGAAGGACCATATTGGTCTTGGGGGCCATGCCATCCACTTTCACGTTTCCAAGGAGAACAAGGATATCTCATCGCAGTGACATCGCTGCAGTGCTCTTACTGCTTCTTCCGCGGTTGCCCTGGCTGCCATACGCTCCTTGGGCATTGCCATACTGCACCGCTTGCATGGCAGAGGCCACACGCTGTGTCCCCACGTAGGCAGGGTACAAGCGCTGTGCCTCATGCCTGGTGGAGCAGCGCTTCTTTTTGCACCCGAGAAATTTGACTCGACGCGTATCGCGTCTGTGATCACGGCCGTCCATGTCTTCTTGGCATCTCCAGGAAACAAAAGAAAAGACCCGAAACATGGTGCTGGACCAGTGAATCCTTTGTCAAGTAAATCCTTTGCTGGACCATTTTTTCACTGTCAAGTGAACCCTTTGAGATGTTGCGACCCGGTTGGTTTGAGGATCGATGCCAGCGATCTCGATATCGATACCGATGCCACCCAGATCGACCATCTTAAAAGGACCCCAAGTGATTGAATGCACCGTCTATCTGGCATCCCTACACGCAAAGCAAGCACCGGGTGCAATATCAGCTACGGCCGCCAAAGCATATCTTCTACCAAGTCCAGCTAATCATCTGCAAGCTGCTTGGAGCACCAGCCGCACTACTGACTACTGAACAACATTCAACCAAAAACATTGTTCCCCGCATGACTGGACCCAGTGTGGATTACTGTAGCCTAAGAAACGCTGCACTTACGCTCGGTGACCAGTGGTTGAAGGACCGGAGCAAGTGAGAATCATTCCCTCCTCTCGGCCGAAGCACGACAGATCTTCCTAGGATACTTTGCTTGTCTGGCTCCTGTCATTTCTTGAAGCCCACAAAAGGAACATCAGCATACTTCCACCGTTCCACACCGTGGCTTGGTTCACCGTGGGTTGGTTCGTTGTGACTGGTGGGCTGGGCGGAGCGCCGTCCCGTGGCCTTGGCCGTGCGAAGGAACGACGAACCACCCGAGACGAAGGGCGGGTTTGGACCATGACAACCCGAAAACAGCCCATCCACTTGAATCAGTTAGTGATTCGGAATTTACTCTTGTCTGTACATCTTGGATTCCAGTTTCCGGGTTTGGCCCTTCAGGGTCTGGCCGGGGTCTGGAATCAAGTAGCCCGATGTCCCACCGGATAAACCGGGCCCCCACAATGCTTGATGAGTGTCAGTGCGTCCATGGGTGTAGCCATTGACATCCTACCGAGCTCAAACATTGGCTGGCAGAATGCACATCCGAACACCATCAGATGGGGACTTGGAAATATCTGTCCGGCATACAGTTGGGGGTATTATTATTCCCTCATCTTGAGACAAAGCTCGCAAAGGATCATGCTTGAGACATTGGAAGACATGGCATCCAATGTGGCGCTTGAGAACAACACATGAAACATACGCTTCCCAAAGCAAAGCCCTGTTGCAAACCGCGTGTCCAATCCTCAGGGGCTGCCTTGTCGGGGAGGCTGATGAACCTCTTGATACAACCTATATACTACAGTAATCTACAGTATATATACTTATGTTCTGTCATATAATATTGCAGATTATTGCATGCTGAAGGGAGAATCCTGATGTAGCAACCAATTATTTGAGACCAATAATGCCCCATATCATCCCCTATCTACAGTATTCCTACAACATGTCCAGTGACTTGTAGGTTCTACATGGCCGTGGGTCGACAACCGGGACCTTTTGTTCACATCATATATCCTCACCACTATCCTCCTAACCCCAGCCCGGTGGCCGTGTCAGGGCTTCTCCAGGTTTTGCCCACAGCCGATGCTTCCATGCATCCACTCCCTTCCGAACCCGTACCGAACCCGCGTCATGAAACCAACACGCGCTCGGCATGAACCCGGCGCGAAGGGGAGTTGTTTTTCACCCGCCTCGCCAAATACTGATCCACCTCCTCCGCTGAACTTGCCGACTTCACCATCCGCTTGTAGTTCTCCTGTCCGAGAAGCACTGAGAGTACACCCCCCACCAGTGGCTGCCCGTTTCGCGCGCGAAAAACGCGCGTGTGTCGCGGGGGGGGAAAGCGAGGCTGGACCGGAACCTGAACGGTCATTCCTGGACCATCTGTCCTTTTTGGGATGTTTTCAGGACATCTCGCAACGCGATCTCGTAACGCTGATCTCACCCGTTCTGCCCGGTGGGACTGTGAGAAGTGGTGTGGTCCTCCAAGTGAGGAATGGGCCGCCCAACAGCAAACCGATGATGTGTTCTCTTGACCGGGGCACCAAATGGCAGGAGCTGCCGGTCAACATCTTTAATACATTTTTTCCCCTGAGTGAATCTTTGAATGATCAAGACACTGAGTTCCTTGCCAACATACTTCCATTCCCTCCCCAAGGGAACCTTCAAACAAGCGGTCAGTCCCAAAAACACACATGAGAATGCTAGTATCCAATCTCTACTTCCACGCCAAAGGTCAAAGTAAAAATCACAAAAACATGTTCTTGCAGCCAAGTGTTGTTATGACAAGTCTAGGTCATTGAGCAGCCCTCTCTTGGTTGAAACCAGTTTGACATCGGCCATGTAGCCGTGCAGGCAAGTGTCTACCATGTAGCGGTGCAAATCCACTGAACCATTGTTCAAAGCGAAGGATCGAGCTTGGTAGATGGCGCTTTGCTGCTGCAGCATGGAGACTTCGCGATTGAAGCCTGCGCAGCAGCATGGGGTTCAGCCGCCCCATCCGGCTCAAGCCGCTGCGCAAACGGAACACAGGTCACCAATGCTTCACCCATGGGTGAACCCCAGCGCATCCGACATAAGTCATGCATCAAGTTCAGCACTACATTCTTCCACACGACAGAGTGATATATATATATATATATGTACCGTTTTTCCCCCGGCCCCTTTCCGGTGAAACTCTGAGGATCTTTCACATGAACATGCAGTGCAGTAAAACATTAAACGCACTATCCAAGATCTCATCATCTGACGTAGGCTGTGCCCAATCCTCGATGGAGGTGGATCAGTCCACACGTTCGCATTTCACAGGGCATGCTGTCGCACACCGGTCATGCAGTCGCACACCGGTCTGTCTGGGTCGGGAGTCCATCAAAAGCCAAACTTGAGTGTTTTGTTTTTGCTCAAGAATGCGTGAAACAGCCTTATTTCTAGGGAACTATACCTGCATGAGTTTGAGCAACCAGTCCCATTATAACACTGCAGTGCAACAGTGCAACAGTGCAACTGTTCTCGGGATAAAGAATCAAACATCAAAGTTCGTGCCTCGCACATGCTTGCCAGCTGCTTCCTGCATCTTTGATACCACCTGTCAGGGACAGATCGGAGGAGTTTGACTCATTCCTGCCATCCCCATCCCAACTAGCTAGCAATCTCGAGCCCGGCCCGCCTGGGTGTAGTATGCCAGGAGTTTGGACCATTTGTAGAAATCCTCAGGTGGTCTGCCTGGACTGCCTTGCACGCCTGCATGTCCTTGGGCACCTGTCTTGCCTGTCTTCCCCATCTTCCCAGCTGGTCCTGGCGTGATCCACACTCGATCGTGCCTTCCCTCCACACTCGATCGAGCATGTACAGTCAAGTCAAGGTCACCCTTGAAACCACTTCACACCTGGCAAGGTCTCTCCGGCATACGGGAAACCATAGTTTCTAGCCGTTTCTACATATTTGTGGATTACTGGGAACAAACACAAAGGCGGGGATCTAATTGAATCCCAAAGAAAGATCTGTACAAAAGCACCAATCAGGATCTCTTCCCATCAAAAACATCTGCCCTGCGCAAGCCGTGATTCACCCCACCAACCCCACACGTCGTGTCACCGCACGCGTGCCGCGCGTGCCTGGCATCCCTTGGCTGCCCGGCTTGCCAATCACCGAGGCGCCAGCAGGTCCAGTGGGCCCAACGGGACCCGCAGGTCCAGTGGCACCTCGCATTCCCTCGGGCCCTGCAGGGCCATACATCCTTGGAGGAGGAAGCTGAAGGGGAAGAAATCCAACCAGGTTCCCCCAAGTTTGGGGGTTTAACATGATGTTAACCATTCATAAGGGAAAATAAAACAGTCACCTGAAGCAACACCAGGCATCCCAGCCACCACCAAACCTGGACGCCCTGCAGGACCTTCCAGCAGGGTCACGTTGCTCACGCTCACGTTCGCGGTGAATGGCCTTGTCCTGAACGCGACCGGTGTTGGGCCGTTGAACGAGCTCTTGCCATCAAGAGGTGCCGAGCACCAGAGTTGGAGCAAACACACTTAGTAGGACCAACGGTCCACACAGTATACAAACGGTCACACCATGAAAAAAACACTCCCCACACAGGCAACTGGACTGAAACATGCGTAATCACCCATTCATAGTCATAAAGCTCTTCTGCAGATATTTCTAGAGGAGTACAGTACACTCCGACTCACTAACATGGAAATGGAAAACCACCTGTTTGTAGAGGAAAATGATCTTTACAGGGGCCATTTTCCACTTCCATGTTAGTGAGTCAGAGTGTAAGTCCCTTTTCTCCCGACCAATTGAGGTTTTCCCTTGGCATTTGGTGGAAAACATGTGCCACCCTATACTGCCAGGCATCACAGTGGTCGCATTCTGAGTGGCCTCCTCCGCTTTCTGAGCTTCCTGTGCTCAAAGGCGACTGCACCATCCCAATCCATCCCAATCACAGCCTCCCAATCCCTGTCCATTCCTGTGATGTGGCAGTCCTCTCAAGTTGGGTTCGTGAACAAAAAGCCGCGCCGCCGGTCCTGGCCTCTTCCGGTGAGCTTTCTAGCCACGAGCTGCGACCGTCCGGGCGGTGTGGGTGGACACGGGAGAGCATCTCGCGTCGGAGGTATGGAGGATTGTCCGGAAGGTCCAGCTCTTCAGCAGGGAGTAGTCCTCACGGTCAGAACATCAGAGTTGAATTGATTTGACAGGTCCTGACTGGTGGTCATCCAAGCTTTGGCCAACCACTGGTGTTGGCTCCTGTTGAAGTGCAAACAAAGTACTATGCAGAAATGCTTGAGAACTGCTTGTTCTCAACAGGGTCTCAAGCAAGCGACAATACCATTGGAGGCCCTTGTTGATGCCTGCATACCGTAGATACAAATATGTTCAAGTGTTTCGGGAGCTCAGCACATGGCTGATAACAGCTATATATGTTCAAGGTCAGCAGCCAAAGCCAAACCTCACAAAGAAGACACAACCCACAGATCTCAGGACTTCGGAAGATCACGGAAAACACATGTTTTTCACTCAGCGCCACAAAGAAGAAATGAACGTCTAAAACATGGTCCAGATCGAACAACTACAGTAAGTAATATTGTAGATTGGTGAGACTTTTGGTAGGTAATGCAACCCAGAAGGGGATTCATATTTATGACCATATGGAACAGAGACTTAATCACCTTAAGCAAAACCAGGGATATCATGACCCATGTGGTGCCCTGATCCCATGGAGATGTTTGACCACCCAGATAGAGAGGTCTTGTAAGACCACCCAGACCTGAAAACGATACGGAAAGCAGTATCAAACGCCTTGGTCCCTGTCAACTCTTGAGTCGTTTGCGTCAATTCTCTCTAACAGCCTCTATCTGACTCTATCATACTCTATCTACCCAGGACATCCCAGGGCTACATTGCGGAACACATGCAATTTGACATCTGCCGACCACATCCGACAACCAAATCCCACAGTGTTTCAGTTGAACATGGACAAATCCATCTCAAACGCAACTTGACCTTTCGTGATGTTTGCCCTTTTTGCATCGCATCAGTCTCAGTGCTTGGCCTTTCCTAGGCCCCTGTGGCCTTTCCCCCGCCGAGCGACGCACGGAGCCGCCCACGGTGAGCTCTGCCTGCCTCACCTCTTGAGCCGTCGCCTCGAGGAGACCGGAAGAGATGCGTGACGAGGGCGGACCAAGAGGTCCAGGCACCGCGTTGGAAGGGCCTTTTGGTAGTTTTTTCGTTTCTTTTTTCCTAATGGTATGTCTATACCGCAAAAGGGGTGGCGTCGGCAAAGGAACTCTACTCCGGGGCAAAGGAACCAACAGGTTGATGACCGATTCTGTTGACTTTTTTTGGTGCAGTGCTGTTCAGCACACCACCAACTGAGGTTGTGTCAGACAATCATACAGTTTGGTCTCTGTCTCAAGTTCTCGCACCAGGGAACTGTGATAAACCAAAGCAAAACACAACACCTTGTGTGGGAGGCAGAACAAACGCTGCGTTGTACGCCGCCTCTTTGCTTACCATCTTGTGCGAAAAGGAGCTGCCTGCAGGAAGAAGTAGGTGAAAGAGAAGCCGAAGCTGAATGGCATGGCTTTTACACAGTTCATCCTATGAAAAGCACATATGCCCAGTAGGCATACCTGCAAAGGGCCTGAGAGCCAACATGCTACAGAATGCAGCATGTCGTTAATTTGAAGCCAAATAGGGGTGGGGTGAGCATCGCTAGCCACAGCGGAAAATTATTCTTCTGCTACTAGGTGCATGATGGTGCATGCCATGTTCGTTCCAATGTTGGTATAGTCATTGAGCAACCCATCACACCAAGCTACTGACCAAGGAGTCGAGCATGCAAGTGAGCAAGACTCAGATCTAGGGGTTGAAAACCCTTCAATCCATCAAAACTATACTTGGAAGCATGCTTTGCCCTTCCCGCGGCCGAGAACATTTGGTCACACGATATCCCAGCGGCAGACCTGATCAGGAGATCCTGCCTGCATTGGACAGTTCTCAAGGCCCGCTGGGAACGGCCATGGGGGGGCCATGGGGGGCCTTCCTAGTAGGACTTCCTTGAGTCAGAACCCAGGATATCGCACAAGATTGGATCGGTTTCAATGTTCTTTAATGGTTTCTTATCCAACCCCATGGTCTTGAGGCATAGCCACATGCGCCGCATCTCCACTGGAGGCGGTTGGAATGATCTTCACCGGGGCATTCGCATCGGCAACTCGTGAAATGATATTCTTGACCTCAAGAGGGAGCCTTAAAACATCGTTGCAATATGGGTCCAGGAAAAGCCTCTGAGCTCGCTGTTCGAACAGCCGTTCGGCCATCCTTTTGTCTGGCAAGTCCGGCAAGTCCGGGATACGTGACAGCGATACGTTTGGATACATCCATTCATGAGTCGGCTCTTTCTTGGTCCGTCGTGTTCTTTTTTGAGAAAGATCGCTTTGACCCGAAACTTCGCCATCGCCCTGCAACGTCCAGCCATTGGCCCTTCGCCTCTGGGAGCTCTTCCTCCAAGTGCTGAGGGGATTCCTCAGTGCTGAGACAAGCACATGTGGCCGCAAGGCTCGAAGAAGGGACGACAGGACGTACAGGCTTTTTCAGTGATGAGGGGAGTCAAAAAGAACTGAGTCGAATGGCTTTCTATCCTCATGATTCCCGAGCGCAGGTTTCAAGATGATTACACTCCCGAAAACTAACATAGACCCTGACAATGGTCCCATGGAAGACTACTTTCCTCTACCAACCAGGGGTTTTCAGGTTCCATGTTAGTCTTCCAGAGTGTAAGCAGTGCTTCTCCCACTCCCAGGTCTCCGCGCAGCATCCGGATCGCACTTCAAGAGGACCTGGGGCCGGTAGTGCGGTAGTGATACCACCGTAGTTCACATGGCACAGGTTAATTTCATGGATCTTCACAAAAATAAGATAAAAGAACGGTATGAATTTGACCGCTTGACCCACCAGCTTTGAACCATCAACATGAAAGTGGACCCTTCTGATCTTCTGCACAATAATTGTAGAGAAGAAACCGTCCACTCCCATGCGTGCGCATCAAACCATTCATTCATCTACACTGCACCCTTCATACTGTATATTGAACTCTAGCTCCAGTAGAAACATCTCAGAAGATAAGTGTTCAGTGTCAATGCATTGATCTGTTTAAGTATGTTTAAGTAGTTTGTTTGGGCATCTCTGCAGCTTGATGTACGTAGTTTGGACAGCCTTTCATATCAGAACAAGACTCAACAAGACCCAGCTCGCCTGAAGCTCCTCGCCCACGCCTGACCTGACCCCCGAGATTCTGATCGGAACCGATCACCAACATAAATAGCTCTAATTACAGTGTTTTCAGAGTAGATGGCACAATCCCCAAGTTAGGTGGTTTACGTGGAACCCTTTAACGGACATCTTGGGGTCTGTGCCATGTACTCTGAAACCACTGTAATTTCCTGGGACTTTTGAGGGATCCGGGCCGCCAATCAATGGCCTACCATGGTCTACCCTTTCCTAGCCAGACTCGACTTGGGTGAGTGAGAATAAACATTACTTGGGATTGAACAACCGAAACCTCGGCTGGAGATCAACTGAAGGACAGGAAATAAGGACGACCGGACGGTGGGGGTCGAATTGCTCTGCAAAGGGTGTACTGTTCGGTGTTGATCCTTTTGACCAAATCACTCAACCCTAAAAAGACAAGGAAGACCAAAAGACCGGGGTGTGGGGGCTGTTCGAGCAGTTTAGTACCGGAAACCTGACCCGCTGGATCCCGCTGGTTGGCTGGTTCTCCAATCTTGAGACAAACTCACACCTGCAATGATGTGTTCTTGAGGACAGCCAAGGATCTTGGAGCGCTAGAGAATGAAAAACCACACTGAAAGCACTTCAACCATCCTGGTGCAAAGGATGCTGTTTCTCTGTCTGCAAGTTGTGCTGGCCAATTAATTCCAGCCGTGGGCAAACGGAAGCCTTCGAGGTACTGTAGGCCACCTACCACGACCGCGACAACGAACATAAAGAAAACCATAGAAAACCATGGGCAGAAAGCAGAAAACCGAAGGACCACCTTTGTCAAACACCAGCAAAGGAACACTTGCTACTCACTACCAAGATGTAATTGCATGTAATTGCCACAATGACTTGACACGGCCAACAGAATACAATCAACCCCCCAAAATAGGCTGCTGCAACTTACAGTCTTCACCTCCTCCTGGCAATATCGTATCATCCATGAAAGCACGAAAGCAAGGTAAGTGAACAATCATGTGTTCTTTTTCACGTAGACCGTCGTAGACCCAGAACCTCCCATGCTCCCAGGATACATTGGTCTATCATGGTGCATGCATGTCTATCCTATTACCAGTAACAGTGGATTATTTTTCCGCTTTCCACCTTATTTAGAGTGCGTTTTGATGATGGTTGGGTGGCAGGCCTTGTTCAATGTGATATATTGGGTTTACTGACTGTTGCAGGTACGTCCTACGGACAAACCCATGCAGGAGACATCCCAAAACGCCGCTTTGTCTCCGCATCTCTCGGTCTGGGGTGTAGGACAACGTGGCTTCTGGTTTGGTCTCTTCATCTTCTTCGTCTCCCGATGGCAACGCTTCCTCCTGGGATGGAGCTAGTTTCTTCGTCACCACGTGGTCAGTATGGGTCAATATACCATGTAGAACTCTCTCCCAATGTCCATCTTGGCTCAGTCGTCTTGCGAAACACAGTTTTCAAGACCTTCGGATGATTTTGGAAGTGTAGCGCAAGGCCTCCCGTATCTGTTGAGGCACATAGAGTCAACATGACAAGACCCGACGCTTGATATCCCCTGAAATGTGTGAGGCTTAAACTTATAAAAATATTTCATATGGTAAGGCCAGAATCCTTGATTAAAGAAAAATCAAAAAAGTCAAAAAAATGTCAAATGGACACGTCAAAGTCAAAAACAAAAATTAATTGAACAGTCAAAAACAGTCAAACATAGACCACAGCTCGAAAAAATCAAAGACAAGTCAAACACATGTCAAAAAAGTCGAGCAAATGTCAAACACGTTGAAAAATAACGTCAAACAAACATTCAAAAAGACTCGAAAAACATCAAACAAACAGTCAATCACTCCAAAAAATCCGAAAAAAACGCCGAAAAACCACGAGAAAAAATACAAACAAGTCAAAAAACTGTCCAAAAAAGTCGAAAACACAGCAAAAAAAGGTCGGATCTGGACATTTTGACTTTTCTTTTGACTTTTGGAAATTTCTGATTTGACTTTTGAGATTGACCTAAAAAAGAAAAAACTTTGAAAACAGGCTCTCTCCAATGAATTTGTTATATATACATTTTTATATCATATATAAGCTTAAAAATTGCACCCAAAATCAATTGACTGAACCCTGCATAGGCTAGATAAGAAAGACACCAGTTGACATGGACATGTTCTTTCAAAAGCTTGATGATGTCATGCATGTCGCGTCCTCCTGTGCTGCAGCATCTTCAATGTTCTCCTCATCCTGGTGTGCAAGAGACGCAACCGAAGCGATTTTCATGTTCAGAGGTAAAGCAAGAGGTGATACGAAGAGGTCACTGATGGTTGCTTCTCACTTGGGTCGTCAACCTGCCCGGTGCCCAAAGCCAATGGCATATGGTTGGTTTCCAAAATGTATTTTCCATTCTTTTCCCAAAATGGTGCACTCATCGCAATTCCATGGGGGCCCGCTTCTAAATCTCCTTTAAACCCACACCACACTCAAACCACAGGGATGTTCAATATGAAGGCATGTCAACGGCAAAAGTTGTGAGAGGTGTCTAGCGCGGACCTCTTCAAGGGCCTGTTGAGCTGCTGGAGCTGTTGTTGTTGTCGCTGCTACTGCTGCTGCTAGACTTCTGCAGTTGTTTCCAATTCTTGGAAGTTTTCAGAACGACATAGGAAGGACGTAAGAGCTGACTCAAAAAATTCAGGTGTTGGATGGGCAGATGGTCAAGAAATGGACCGTCGTCTAGCGCGGTGCTAGCGCGGATCTAGCGCCAGCCTAGCGCAAAAATCTCCGTCGATTTCTTCATCCTGGCAGGTTCTTTGTTTTCCTGCTTGCTTGTCTTCTTCTTGTTGTGCATTCTTCATATTATGGTCAGACGGTCATCCAAGGGTTGGTCGAGTTTGAATCCTTGATCATATCCACAAAATCCCAGCACTACTCCAATAGTCTTAATTACGAGTGGATGGCCAAGGTCAGGGCTTCAAGAAAACGGCCCAACACCCATGCAACGACCGCTGCTCTCTGAGCGGTCCTGCAGTCGACGATTCGACGAAAGGAGAAAAACATATGACCGCTGTTGGACGAGTCGTGCGATGAATGCTGAGAAACTGGTGGTGTCGTTCTGAGAAACTGATCCACCCGGGCGCAAAAATGGCCCTCGTGAAAAAAACATTGTGGATAAAGCTTCTATTCATCCGTTTTTGGGCGTTGTTCTGCTTGGTTGGATTATATATAACTTGAGAGGTCGCCTTTCGTCTTTGTTTGAGATCTCGGTTTCAAAGCTAATTGAAAATGTTCAGGACTATTCAGAACTATTTCAAGCTTGTTGGTTATTTCAAAATTGTTCAGGATTGTTTCAAATTGTTTGGCTATTTCCGAATTGTTCAGGACTGTTTCAACATTGTTCAGGACTATTATAGGCCTTGAAGAAACCATT